ACAGCTTGCTTGTGTCCGTTCATATGTTTTCCTAAGCAATCTTCTTTATCTAATGCTGGTGGTTCTACTGCAGCTGTTGTTAGGCTGTCTGCTCACCAACAAATAGGCAGGACGTTCTCTATTTTCCAAGATACCTGCCCAAAGCAGCAATATGCACTTTTCCCATTTTTCTAAAGTAAGTAAAGCAGTTTATTGATACAGCCTCTTAAATCTTAAAATAGGCAGGGAGACGTGTAATTTCACAACCACCTGCATTCAGATGGAAGGGAAAGAAAAAAGGTATTGATTTTGGTGCCCTGAAATCTAGGAGCTCTACTGGTCACTCTGTGAATTGATTTATTATTGTCCTGCCTTTCTTCCAGATAGTACCATGTAGCAAATTAAAACCTCAGAAAAAAGTTCTCAAACAATATAAATTTATAAAAACATGCCCAGAACAATAAATATGCAGCAGTTACACCTCATTAAAGACTTTTCTACAGAGGCATGTACTCACCAAATGCATTGGTTAAATAAAAAGCTCTTTACCTGCTAGCAAAAGGGAAACAGTTGGGGAGGGGGCAGCAGCACACTCCCAAGTGGTAGAGAGTTTCACAGGCAGGGAGCAATTACTGTCCTGCCTCCTCTAATGTATTGGAGCTGAGAAAACACCCTTCCCTGAGGCTCTTGCAACTCAGGCAGTTCAGAGAAATGGAATAGAGCTGTCTATAGAGCAGGGCTTTTTAAAATTTTTCTATTCCAGAAAGATTTACATGATTCTGAGTAGATAGTATATAAAATAAGTATAAATAACAAACATTTGCTGATAACAAATCAGCATTTGCAAAACTTGCTTAAACATTCTGATTTTCCTTTTTATGAAGTACAGCTGAAGCATCTTCTGCAGAGTCCACTCTAAACATTGTAGAAATGATGCACCAGGAAACTAAGGGAGGGGGGAGCAAAATCATACCCCAAACCCACCCCTGTTTTCCTGTCTCATGGTGCATCTTTTCTATGTACCAGCAAAACAGAAGGACCGCCGTAATGGCAGCCCAGTATGTTTTGGGGGGGTTTAAGGGTCGTTGGATGCCATCCTGATAATTACTGGGATGGCATCTAGAGACCCCACCCAGGAAAGCCCAGAGTTTTTTGGGGGGTAGGGTGGATTTTTTTTAAACCCACTTCGGCACAGGTTTAACCCCTGTCTGGAAACATTCTTTGTTGTTAGTCTTTTCGAACCGTTAAACAGAGGCTGGATTGCCATCTGTCAGGGGTGCTTTGATGGTGCTTTTTCTGCATGGCAGGGGATTGGACTAGATGACACATATGGTCTGTTCCAACTCTGTGATTCTACAGTTCTATAATTCTATAATAAGGTTTAATAGCATTGGCTTCCAAACAGAGATGCATTAATATGGGTGCGTTGCTAGTTGTTCATCATCTGCCTTTTTCTCAAATATTTGTTGACACTGACACTGGAACTGATGTCAATGAGCCTAGCAAATTAATTATTGCCTGGAGAAAATATCTGGTGGAACTACAGCTCCTATTTATTAAAACCAGTGCTTGGGAAATAATTTAGAACAAACTAAGGAAATGTGGGGAAAGGGTTTCAAAGTAGAGCTTTGTGCTCTGTTAATTCTTCAGGGGGAGAGGAGGGGAATCTTGCCCTTCAGGCAAAAGCAAGCTGCTGCAGTCTCTCCTAATTTGTGTGTTCTTCTTCATTAATAATATTTGACATCTTGACTGTACTCTGATGTTGCCTTCATCTGTGAAAGTTTGGAGGCCATGCATCTTTAGCTCTCAGGTTTGGCCTTGAAATTTCAAGGCCAGAGATGTTCCTGTACTGAGAGAGTACTTTGAGTCTATTGATGAAACATAAAATGAAATATTTCATCAAATCGATCACGCCAACAGCCACAACAATGGGAAAAATTAGACAAGACTGCAAAGGGAAAGAAAGGTGAAATACAATCTAGCAGGTATAAATAATTCGTGAAGACATCTATCATCACTTTTGCAATCTTCGACCAAACTGGCATCTAATTTTAGCAGCTAACATATTGAACATTTAATCTGAGCAACTTTCCAGTTGGACAGCAGAGCAAGCATTAGCTGGGGCTTATCAAATAAAATGAAATAAATATACATCTCTCTAAATTCCCCTGCACTGAGTTTGATAGGTTGTTTGGGAACCACCTATGCCCCTGAAGTTCTATCAAGCAGCTAAAAACACAAGTTAATATTATGTTTTATATTCCACCCATCTGCTTTGGTACGCAGAAGGAAGGATTTATTTGATAATTTTGAAAAACTCAGGAAAATTAAATGTACTCCATGGATATCAAAGTCAGACCGCATGCACAGTAATCTAGTCCAAAAGCCACAGAATTTTGTGGTAGGAACAGAAGCTGTCATGGGTTACTAATGTTATACCACAAGCATTAAGCAGAGGTTACTCATCTGCTAGATCTAGAACACTTCAAAACTGCAAATATAGTAGTAGTCTTTACATCTGAGATGGAATAGTTAACTGATAACAGCAAAAGTGGTTTGGCCTGCTTTTATGCCGTTTATAGCAGCCAGTGAGCAAATATCAGTAGGTAAATAAATATGTTCAAAGCAGAGAAATCATCTTTTATACCTGTTGATATTTCCCCATTGTAAAAGGCACAAGAATGGCCAATGAGAAGGAGGTAAACCTAGGAAGCTGTATTATTATTTCCATTCACATAGTAGGCAGCCTTCATGCACAGAATTACATCTCCCATTATTCCTGACAATTAGCTCTACTGATTGGGACTTTGGGTTTTTAGAGTCCAAAATATCTGGGCAGCACCAGGCTGTCTGTTCAGACTAGAAGATGCTCTCCAACCTTTTGGGTAGGAATCCTAACGGTACATGCCAGAAGCCAATATTGGGATTACTTTGTATTTGAAGCCTATAAACTGTATCTGTTTTCTGCTGAATAAAAATTACTTTCTGAATTGAGTTGTCTCCATTTTGCCTGTTCCAGTTCACTTCTTTTAGACACTTTGCTGCAGGCAGATATTCAACAAGCACACTGTGTCCTGGAGGGAGCATGACCTGTGAAATGTCGACCTGTCTTCAAGCTATTAAAGGAAGGTAAACCGATCCAGATTCAGAAACATGTTAACAGGTTCCAGCCATAGTCATGCTGGTGAGAATGGTGCTGGGTGGACATTGTTTTTGTTGTTAATTGCCAAAATCAAATAGAGATCCAATGAGTTGGTCACCATGCAAAAAAAATATTGGACAGGCTTTTGGTGACATCCAGGAGGGCTCCCCTCATGGGCGGCTCGTCCATTACGCGAAGTAAGCGATCGCAGAACACTTTTTTTTGCTAGGGGCGCAGAGGCGCCTCTGTAAATGCCCCGCGACCGCCACTTGAGGAGCACCCCCTCAGCTCACAACAGCCCTAGCAGTCCGGGGGGAGACTTGGCTTTCTTTCTTTTCTCTCCCCAAAGGGGCCGGGCCCTTGAGCCTCGCCTAGCCCCTCTCGTTCCTGCTCCAGCCGGCCACCAGCTGCGCGAGCGCTCAATCGTTCTCTGCGTTTGATCCCTTTCCCGATCCCCCGGCGCTCCACCCGCCTCCTCTCCTCTCCCCAATCTGCGGGTGGGCCAAGGGGCGGAGCCGCAGCACCGGGCCCGCTTCGGGTCCGGAGGCGTGTCTGAAGACCCCAGCGTGCGCACCAAAAGTCACCTCTTCTCCTGACTTTCTCTTCAGCCATTGGGACCAAGAGAGAGAGAGAGAGAGAGAGAGCCCCTCCGGCTGGAGGTATCTCCCACCTCCGCTCCCTCCTTTGTTTTTGTGCCTACCTTCAGGAAGGGTGGGCATCTCCACCTCTCTCTCTCTCTCTCTCTCTCTCGGTCCCAATGGCTGAGGAGAAAGTCAGGAGAAGAGGTGACTTTTGGTGCACACGCACTTCAGGCATGCCTCCAGACCCAAAGTGGGCCAGGCAAGGGAGCAAGTGCGGCAAGTGTAGTTACTGGGATGTATAGTTCACCTACAATCAAAGAGCATTCTGAACTCCACCAATGATGGAATTGAACCAAATATGGCACACAGAACTCCCACGACAAACAGAAATATATATCAATGATTGGTTGGGGGGGGGCGCCAAAATACTGTTTGCTTACCGTTGAAAATTACCTAGGGCCGCCTCTGGCTCCCCTTATGTGGCAGGGTTAACAAATCCAGTAGTTGCAGAGTCTTATCTAGTTCTCAACTACTACAGACAAGAACCTTGTGGTTTATTGCACAATACTTGCTTTTATTATATTTTTCTTTATTTTTATAGCAAATGCTTTGTTGACTCACAATCTGGAGTGGTTCCTCAGTTCTACAGGGCAATTCCTGAATGCCACACAAAAGTGAGACTCTAGATTACTTCACAGATGAAAGTGGGACAAATATGGCTTAACAATATCAGAGTGGTCAAGATGGCAAATATTATCACTGAGGAAAAACACAGCAAGATAGAATAAGCTGTAGCAATTTGTTTTTGTTTGGGAAGGGCAAAATTCCACCCTCTCCTCTCTTCTGCCCCATGCTGAATTAACTGAATGCAAACTGCTTATGAACTTTGAGCTCAGGCCCCCTCCACACAGCCCTATATCCCAGAATATCAAGGCAGAAAATCCCACAATATCTGCTTTGAACTGAGTTATTAGAGTCCACACTGCCATATATTCCAGTTCAAAACAGATAATGTGGGATTATATTCAGCAGTGTGAAAGGGGACTCATTGGCTGCAGCCACAGAAGAAACATGAGGATAAAAATGGAAAGTGAGAAAAGAAGGGAGAAACTGGGACAGTTTAAACGCAGCTGAAGAGTGAGGCCAGAAGGAATTATGGTAATCAAGACTGTCCCTGCAAATCACAAGGGTTGGAGGGCATGGGATTAGTTTTGAAGAAACAGACATCAATATTTGGGAATTTTTCAACTGATTTTTAAAAAATCAGCAGAAAGCAGCCCAGAAAAAGTTCCACTTACCCTAATCTTTCCAGGCAGGCAGATGATATGATATTGCGCTGGCATCCTGTGTCAACCACAACTTGCAGTTCTTTCCCAGCACACTGTTGGGCAAAGCAGACAGAGCACTTAAAAGAATCAACTGAAGGTGAGTAAATGCTTGAAATTTTTATTTACATTTGTACAGAAGTTGATTGTAAATGATATGATTATAACTGTATTTGTGTTTGCACTGGTTGCCCTAATG